AATATGTTATAAATGTCTATTTTAACATTAATATATATATATGTTTATAAATGAATAAATGTGTGTAGGCCTATATATATATAAAATAGTATCATTAAATAATGCTAATACTTACACCAGCTGAGATGATAAAACACCAATAAACATCTGTGTGTATAAATGAATAAATACATGTGTGAGTACATATAAGTGTGTGTTTATATATATATATATATATGTTTATAAATGAATACATGTGTGTAGGCCTATATATATATATATAAAATAGTATCATTAAATAATGCTAATACTTACACCAGCTGAGATGATAAAACACCAGTAAGACAAAAAACAACTATTCCTGCTTTACCGCGACCGCTATGGCTATAACTGCCGAAGATGAAGTCTATGACGCTAAAGCTACGTTCTTGCGTAATGCGGAAGTGGGCGTGGTTCAATCTAAACTCGGTTGGAATAACGATAGACGCGGCCGGGAGCATGTTGTTTCTTACACGACCACTAGAGCACCTCTAGTGGTCGTGTAAGAAACAACATACACTTTAAAACATGTCTCTGGGTCGTAATAAGGGCATGAACAATCGGCCTATATGGTCGTTTTTTGTAGGAGGACAGGCTGACACAGATCCTGTGAGCAGAGGTGAGTGATGCGTTTACAGCCCTGCTCAAAGAAGTCTGTTGCTGAATTAATATGTTAGGAGTGATGATAGATATTTTTTCACACAACACCAATCAAAGGAGTATACCGTTTATTCTGTACGCTTCACAGTTCAAACCTCTCTTCATTATGACCACAATGCACATCCACTTCATGGATTATATATGAGGGGAATGCCTGAAGAATCAAAGCATTTCAATATGAAAGATGCATTTCAAACAATACTGCCTGAAACGAAAAGAGAGCTCGTCTGCACAGAAGCAATAGGCATTCAGGTAATTTTCATGCAGCCATAAGCAGGATTAAACTGTCTTTTTTTAAGATGAAATATGACTGTTTGATGAAAGTAAACATGCTCATGTTAATATTTCATAAGCCAAGGAGCGGGTGCTGGTGTTGAGGTTAGCACAAAACAGCAGAGAGATACATTAATAGAGTAATAAATAAGATCTCATGTCATTGGCTGTAACACAGCGCACTTAGATTGACCTTGTTTAAGGTGTCAGCAACAAAACAAGAACCTCATCATTTAGGGATATGACCTGGTGTAAATATACAGATAGTGTAGATCAAAGATATAACAGTAATGCTAAAACCGCCCGCAACCTAACATGTTCTCCATAAAACCATTTTCTATAGTTATCTCCCCGGCTAGCTTATGGCGCTACATACAGCCGCCATCTGATTGCTTGCACGTTGAAAAGCCAGCGGTAAACAAGTTTAAAAATATCATTTTAATTTAAAGCGAATTTGCCAATTTTAGGGGTGCGCAACGCGAACGGTAGCAATTCCGCCTAGTCAGGCCACTCTCAATAACAAAACAACTTCAGCACAAAGTCGTTTTAACGTGTATCATGTAAATGAAGCTTAAAGGTAGGGTAGGAATGGAGAACAGCTCGAGTGCGCTAGAATTTGAAAGTACTTCCTTCAGACTTCCTTACAGAGCCCCTCCTCCAACACACATGAACGTGCATATGACCAATGAGGGCACGAGATAAGTTTGTGCACAGATGGAAGGCTGACAGGCAGGTAGGCCATCCAGTTATTTTAGCCGGGCCGGCTGAAATAATTGGTCGTGCTTTTTACAGTACTACGGCTTCCACAGATGAATTTTTTGTATGGATTTATTGTCAAAGCATTTAATTTATTCATTGCTATCGGGATGTTAAGAGCATTCCATGGAATATAACAAAAAGTGTTTCTGAAGTGAAATACCTACCCCACCTTTAATGTAAGGAAAATATCATAGATCTGGTTCAACATATCAGTAAACTGAGTGTGTTTCTTGTGCTTCTGGTTGGCTAAGCATACCCATAAAAACATAGTTATTGTGTTAGTTGCCTGAGCCACAAGCTTAAATAAGGTAAAAGGGAATTAGATGTGTTGTCAGTGAATCTTGACAGATACATTCAATATAAACATCTTGGTATTTACCACATTATTATTTAACTGGAAAATATGAACAAATATTTATACAAATGGATTTCATTATGATAAAATGATGTCATGTTCATTCATAGCGTTATTCCCAATCCTTTGCCCATCGGGAACTCAATATAAGAAAGACCTCACCGTTGAGAAGTCACATCAGCCTGTTTTACAGTGTAAACCAAACCAATTGGGAGGAAAGCTTCAAAACTTCATGAAGCCTAATTTCGCCATTACTAAAGTGGCTGTGGCTGGTTAAAAGAACAAAACATACAAATAAATCAGGATTGTTCTATTATGTTGCGAACACAGAGACAATTGAAATATTTGTATGTTGTTTTAAATCTTTTTGGGGAATATAGTGAAAATGTAATACACAGATTAATGTGCCACATTGCGCGTGTCTTATCCAACACTATAGTGTTTTATTTTATACACAATTTGAGAGATCTTGAACTAAGAATTTCCTTGAACAAAGAAGATTTAGTTTGTTCTCAACTTTGAATTTTTAAGAGCAAGAGTGAGCAGATTGAGATTGATCTGGCTCCAAAATGAATAGTGTTAAAAAACAGAATAAAGTATGAAGCACAGGGAAAACGTTTTGAAATGAACTATACAAGGGATGCACACGCTTCTCGAGGGAAACCTTGCTTTGGTCTAAAATGTTGTCTGGACAAACCGGACAGTGAACACTGATAACTTTTAATTTCCTGTTTGGATACTGGGTATTTTTTTATCATCTCAAAAGAATAAATAAAAGGGTCAGTGCTGAAATCATCTATTGCAACTCCTTTTATCTTTTAATTGAAAATAATCTCTCAGGTTCAGTAATGATGAGCTTCACTTGGTAAACATTTAAGCTTTCTATGACACCATCGTGTACATCAAGACAGTCTAACCAAAGCCAAAATATCTGGCAGATTCTCCATCACCTCAGACAATATCAAGCCATTGAAAATGAGTTCATGGTTTGATATAAAAAGGTGGAATTCCAGGAGACTAGCCCAAAAACAAACACACACAGATACACTCACATGGAATTTCCATATTCCAATCTATTGAACATTACTAAGAAAATGTGCATCACGTTCAAATTAGCATTCAAATATTCATCCATCAATCCTATTGTCATTTTGAATAGATGCAGTCGATATATGGCCGCCATGTATAAGTATGTTCATGTCACATAAATCACCACTGTTCATTAATAACACGTAATTACCATTTCAAAGACAGTAATAATGGCTTCTGTGATATGGGGACAACAGAGGCCTTCGGTCTAAATCAAAACAATTTAAGGGGTTCATTTCCCGCCAATGACTGCCAATTCAGTTATGAAATGAACGTTCCGCTCCAGCAGCCTTGGAGTATAAAAAAGTGAGTGTCTACACTGCAATGTAACCTCCCCTACCTGGAAAACAGGGGGAAAGAGAATTGTTCTCATCACGCAATCAACCAATCAATCATAACAAGACACAAGTGGGACAGTGATCATTACAGACACTAATCAAACACTTCAAAAGCAGTAAATCACAGCAAATCAGCCCAGCGGACAGAGAGTTATCCCACCCACTGGCTAAATATTTTGGTCAGTGTTTTTCTATTTAAATGCAAATTAAGTAACAGGTTTCTTGCAGGCAGTGCAAGCAACAACGCCAAGGCGATCAGCTTAATTCAATATTGTATATATTAAAGCAGTATAGGTTTGCCCGTGGTGCGCCTAGAAATGCCTTTTTCTGAGTAATACATTAGGAAGTTTACATATATGATGATATACAGCAATCCAACGCCTATTTTGGTTCATGGGCTGTTATAGTTTTCCTTAAATTTGATTAGAAACCAAGAGTGCATTCTAAAGACCAATAATTGCTAAAAATAAATAAACAGTATGTTCAACATAACCGACAAATGGGTTGGAAGGCAAACATTGTTTACAGTTGTGAATGCCAAGCTTAATACACTGTAAAAAAAAAATCCGTTGAAAAACGGACAAAGTGCTGGTAATTTGCTGCCAGGACATTGTCCGTTATTCTACAGACACTTCCGTCAACCCTTTAACGGATATTTCTGTAGATTTACAAGACTTTGTCTGTACCATATACGGGCACATCCGTCAACCCTTTAACGGATATTTCTGTAGATTTACAAGACTTTGTCTGTACCATATACGGGCACTTCCGTCAACCCTTTAACGGATATTTCTGTAGATTTACAAGACTTTGTCCGTAATATTTACGGACACTTCTGTTAATCCTAATACGGATAATTCCGTATTTTAACAGTCCTTAGTATGTACTATTTACAGACACTTCCGTCAATCCTAATATCTTTTTTTTTTAATAGTGGGATAAAAAATATATATATATCCTAATCCTAAATAAATAACAATCATTACACTTTCAAGCAAACTGAATAAAGCACAATATATAGAAATTGAACAAAATGTATTTATTTTTTTCCATAAAAGTGCATTCATTTCCTTTTTGCTAATGTATAAAGTGCATTTAATGATGAAATGAAAAAACAGAACTTTTCTCCCACTGCTGTTGCACCCTACTGGCTCACCTGTCAGTGAGGAAGGAGGAGCCCCCTCCAGGAGGATGTAGCGACTCCGTCCTACACCTCCCACTCAACATTCCCCGCTGACAGGCGCTGCCCCAACCTGTAGGAGAACATGCAGTGACAAATGAAAAAAAAAGTAAACTTTTTTTTTAAGTGTTTGTGTGTTGGTATGTTCAGTCCAAAAGTCCAGTCCAAAAAGTTCTGTTTTGAGCTTTGAGGAAAGCTCACATGTGCCAGTCAAATTCCTTCAGCTCAGTCACGAGCTTCGACAGTTTTGGAGGAATGTGGTGCTGTTTCTCCCCTTCATCTCAGCCTTGGACCCTCGG